ATGAGTGCTGAAGGTGTGAGGGAGTTGTACTTTATCAATGCTGGCATGAATTCGCACACCGCTGTGTGATGTAATACAAAAACTTGAAACAGATGATGCTACCCTCCCCTCATTCCCTGCATTATTGGGCATTTTTTCAGCATGACAATGAATATATTCATTCTCCCAAGGTGAAAATCCTTCAGTGGACATGTATTTCACTCAATCTTAACGCTCTTGAGCAGCTGTGGGGGATTCTGTAGAGACGAGCTGAGCAAAACTCCCCATTAAAGATTTAAGGAGGTCGTCCTCCAGGAGTTAAACAGCACAGATGTGAAAATTTGTCATGAACTTGTACACTCAGTGCCAAGAAGTGTCAGAGCAATATACTTTAAGTTCTGGAGGACATACTAAGTACTAGAATATTATACATTTTCTGAATTAAATCTAGGGTGTACTCATTTCTGCAATCCTTCATTTAAACAGAATTGGCTAATTTACTTATCTTACAGAAAATATTAGCATATATTTTGCTGTTTTTATTAAGTATATGTTTAATATGTTTCAATTTTGCCATCTTTCCATGAATTATATTAATTATATTAGCGATCATTAATAAAATACATATTTTATATTTATTCAGAGGGGGTGTACTCATTTATGCTGTGCACTGTATATACACATACACACACACACAGTGTTTGGCAAGTTACTTCCAAGATGTAATACATTATATATTATTAGTTACTGTCTTTTGAATGTAATTAGTTACATTACAATATTACTGTCTCTGAATTGTAATGTGTTACACTACTTTTGAGTTACTGTAATCAAATATTTGTCAAATTGTCAAATATTTCACATATTCATTCATTTTACATATAGAATATGATTTAATAAAAATTGATTTTGTTATTTTTAGTTAAACTTAATTTTTGTTGCTTGTCTGCGCTCGTCCGCCGCCTTTTTTCTCTTCTCCGACCCCGCAGCGCTCTCCTAGCTTACTGTTAGTGGCACCAGTCCAGTGTTTCCAGGTTTTACTCGTGCGATTTCTCCATGTTGAGAGTTTGGTGTCGCACATATTGCCAAGCATTCTTATCCTTTTCTCCGATAAACTGAAAATAACAGGAGTGTGTGTCCATCTCACAAATGTAGAATCCGTCTCTACAGTCATCTCAACCATCTAATTCCAGCAACAGAAGATAGACAAACTAGTTTACCCGCGGATTTTTTTCTCTGGTGCTGTTTTGCGGTGTTGGTAAATTAACCACTTAATTTAGAGTTAAAATATATTGTTGTAACTTGCGTTACTGAGATTGTAACAAGTATTAATATTACCCAAATTTTATTAGTAATGCATTATATTACTGCGTTACAGCAAAACGTAATATACTACTGTAATATTATTACTTTTGTAATGCGTTACACCCAACACTGTATATATATATATATATATACACACACACACACACACACATGTACTTTTATTTTTATATACTTTATGGAAAACCACTTGAATAGTTTTTTATTATTATTATACAAATTATTTAATATATGCAATTTAATATTACACATAATTAAAAACATTTATATTACACATAATTACATATTTTTTTCAACACCTACATGCATACACACGTATATGTTATAATGCCCAGATAACAGGCTATGAGACATAAATATGGAGTAAAGCAAGCATAACGTGGCACCACATAATGTGTTTTTTTGTGAGATTGTCTGGTTACAGTGTGCGGCTCAATGCATCTCCTGTGTGTGATAACTTGAAATGGGTTTTAGTTTTGTAACACTCGAGGGGGAATTATGTTGTGCTGCATGATATTTTATTCAGCACCATCAAATTATTAGTGACTTGTTGCATAATTGGTCATATTTCATGTTTCCACAATTTTGTTTATTGCGTCTCTTGAAATTAATTTGGTGGTTACACTTACACAATTATTTCTAGGCACAATGATTAAGCAATCATTCTATGCACAATGATTGAGAATCAATGATTGATTCTAGGCACAACGTTTGAGCAGAGGATGACAAAGGGACACTATAGGGAGAAAAACTTTTTTTTTTCAAATGTGTTCAAATATTTAAGACAGCACTGTCACAAGAGGGTCACACATTACCACATACATCACAGGAACATCTTGCTCTCCAGGAGCAAAGAAAATATGGGTTTAGCGATATCTCTGCACTTACAGAGACCTGGACTGAACCCTTCTCAAGCCAAGCATCTATTATACATGACTCTAAATGTCAGTAAAACCTGACTGTCTGTTAAACTACTTTGATTTAGCCTTCTTGATCTGGATTGGTCTGATTATAATACTAATTTCCACACCTTGTTTTGCCATTTTCAGCACTGCTTTATTCTGCTTAATTAAAACTTGAACGTTTTCAGTTCTTGAAGGAACCCCCAAGATCTGATGGCACATGACCAGAGTGCTGAAGGCAACATTTCTGAGGCCAGCCGCTAAGACATCTGTGCAAAACACGCCTCCATCTGCTGCGAGTCTCCGTTTACTGCCTTACACACTCTGACACACTGCTGACCTGTGATGTTAACACACTCACACACTCGTGAATGTGGAAAGCACAGGCACACTATAGGCTAACGAGGAAGCTGTGTGTGTCTTATATAAAAAACAGCCTCATCTGTGATTGTCTTCATGTTTCATAGTCACTAAAAAGCAGCCAATTGATATGGACATCTAAGTTTGCCTTTGCTTTTCAATCTACATTCCCATTAGTGTCTAAACATTCAGGCGAATCCACTTGACATTAGCTAAATGCCTGCCACAGCATGCCAAATGGAAAGAGAGCAACTGCCCAACACCTGCTGTGTATACAAATCACTGAGAATATGCCTCACCAGATTAAAAATGCCTTGCTCCAAATATTACTCTGTGATTTAGCGAATAATCCAATAGGTTTAAGATTACTATTCTGTCAATATGAAATTAGGTGACCTAGTGAATATTGCAATGGTGTTTTATTTGGCCATCATGATTTGTTCCTAAAATATTGGAGCTCTAGGGCACGTGAGTGAAAAAGGACAGACAATTAAAAAAAGAAATAGGGGAGGACTTGTTTTATGAATCAGGAATTGATGAGATTATGAAAGGTGTCTGTTTCATTTCAGAAACGGAGAAAGTATTTTTGTTTTGATTTTGTATTGCAGGCATTTTGTAAATTTTGCTTTCAAGTTAACTTTAGTAGCAAAAAAATGTGTGAAGTGGTATTTAGTTCATTTCCATTAATTATTTCAAAACAAGATTCA